GGTTTCTACTTAGTTTAACATGAAGGATGTGTCCCGGGAAGACGAAGTGCCTCCTCACAGGTGTGAATGCTGTTCCACTTGCTCAAGGAAGCTTCACTGCTTTACTCCTTGGAGCTGCTTGCTTTTCCTAAGGCATTTGTCCTCAGTCTGATAGCAGTTGTCGTGTCACATGCTAGGCGTTTCCTCTTTTCTGAAACACATGACTCTGAAAAAGTTAACTGAATAATGAGATACTTAAGTATCACTGAAATAGAAACTGAGTTTTCTCAGAACACAAAGGAAAGAAAGTGCGATAAGTACTTCAGAATAAACATCTGCTTTAATTATGAAGCTAAGTGAATAAATGTATGCCATTTTAGGCTAAAAGATAAAAATTTCATTGTTTGAAAATAGGCCTCTAAGTACATCCTCCTTTTTTGTTTGTTTGACGTAATTGTAAAGGGGTCCAAATAAAAATCTCATATCCCAGCTTCTGTACAAGAAAAGCTGGGATAAGTCATTGAAGGGTCTTCATCTGTTTTTGGAAAGCAGCCATTTTGGAGACACTGTAGATCAATTATAAAATTTGTGGACTAAAATGAATGTATCTTTTAATATTACTTTTCCACAGACATTTTGAACCTTCTCTTGTGCCAGTGGGTACACATGAAAATTCAAATCTACAATGTGACTTTAATTTCCCACTTACACAGGCAATGTTGCAGGACAGCACACGCCATTGCCAATTCCTCAAGGAAAATCTGATCCAGCTGGACTGACTTTGAAAGTTGAAGGTGTTAGTAAAGATCACATAGCCACTTTCTGAGAAGGCCAGCTATTAATGCAATCTATCCTAACTCATCACGATTGACTTGGAAACTTGGATCAAATTTTACTCATCCCTTAGCAAAAAATGTGTCAGTTGGGTTCTTTATTTAGGATGGACATTATGAAAATACTGATGGCAGATCTTCACTCTCCTCCCAACTCAGTAAAATATACTTAAACAGAAAAAATAGAAGAGACTTCACAATAAATGAGGAAAGGAAAGGTAAAATTTATTTATCAGTATGTTGAGTGTTGATTGAAACTGTATTACATGGCCAATGATGAATTTTAGAATGTTGTTTTAGCATCCCTTTATCTAAATGGGAAAGTGCTGTTAGATAAGTAGCATCGTAGAATATTCATTTAGCCAAAGCACTTTACGCTTTCTTACTACTCAGATGTGATATGTGCAACAGGAGTCACTTTGTTTTAATTGGTGCCCTGCTATTTCAGGATGGTGGCCTTATCACTGTGATATACATGGAACACACCAATGGCAGATGACTAATGAGTCTTGTCATCTACAAGATATTTTGAGGCTCACTGTCTCAAAGAGTGTTACAGTGAAGCCATTGTAGTTCTGTTAATGTTGTAAGTAGGCAGTACAAGGAGAGTTGAAACTAGCAATCCTGCCCACATGCATTCATTTCTCTCCTTTTGTCACTTAAATAACATGTAGTCCTCTGCCATGATGACAGTGACGTGCAATAATTCAATGCAGGCACTAAAGAGCAAATGCTTTACAGAGCTGCAAACTATTTTCAACTTGTCATCTGGACATGAAAGCATCCACAGACCTTGGCCAAAGCGTATGTGCCTCTTGCAGCTCTTGGCACACTCTTCTCTCTAACAATAAGAGTAGAAGAAGTATAGTTGGTTTGAATCTGATTCCTTTGGAGCTTGTAGTCCACTCCGCTCCCTTTATGTCATTACTGTGTATGCCTTTGTTTGCAGTCCATACTGGTTCGTGAAATGATTTGAGGACATCGCATTTTAAAGTAATCTACCTGAGCATCACTCCAGGTGCTAATACAAATACAGTTTAGATGAGAATGCTGTCTTGATTGGGCATAACCTAGGATCAGAAAAATCTTCTTGGTTCCCATGTTCCTGTTGGGAAGAGTGACATGATTCAGCTCTGACTTGTCTTAATAAATCATTTACAAAAATTCATGAATTTAAACATCATTTTTTCTGAGTTAGAATTTTCACTTGACACAAATGACTTCTCCTTTGACATATACTGAATGAGCTTAAGAGGAAACCAGTTCAAACTTTTATTGTCATTAATACAAAAAAGACGTGTATTTCAATGAAGTGTGACAGGATGTTTTCTCTTTCTTCCTAAACTATTTTGCAGTGTAAACTTAATAATAATTAAGGTTGTAGTGAAGCAATAAATAAGTAGAGCTCACAAACAATGTACTGTTCATGTGAGGCCAGGATTAGAATAAAAACAGGAAATATATTTATAGTTAAACTTTGACAACTGGAGGATGATAATTTCAAATACATGAGCTAATTTATAGTTAAATTCTATCATGAAATGTAATTTTCTTACTATTGCAGATTCATATCCTGTATTACCCTAGTGAATACTGAGTGCTGCATTTTGTAAAACCAGTTAAATCTTTCAGTCCACAGTCAGTAACACACACACACACACACATATATATAGTTAAGAATTTTTTTCTAAGAAATAATTTCTTCCTAATAGAACTGTAGGTTTCTGAGTACACAAACATCATCTTAACTTAAATTGCTATTCATTTCATAATGCTTAATTCCTAGTCCCTTTGGGGACAATGGAGGTTTTAGTCACATTTCACCCTATAATAAAGGCCATTAGTAAAGTCACTTTCTTCCTTTTAATGACCCACAATTAAATGTGTTTGTAGGGCGAGGTGCAAAATAGCATAGTGGTTAAAGTCCTCACCTTGCACACCCGGGATCCCATATGGGCACTGGTTCTAATCCTGGCAGCCCTGCTTCCCATCCAGCTCCCTGCTTGTGGCCTAGGAAAGCAGTTGAGGACGGCCCAAAGCTTTGGGACCCTGCACCCGTGTGGGAGACCCAGAAGAAGCTCCTGGCTCCTGGCTTCAGATTGGCTGAACTCCAGCCATTGTGGCTACTTGAGGAGTGATTCACTGGACAAAAGATCTTGCTCTCCATCTCTCCTCCTCTCTGTATATCTGGCTTTCCAATAAACATAAATATATTTTTTAAAATGTGTATGTAAACACAGAATAGCTTGCTGTATCTACTTCCTTCTATTCTGAAAATCATTTATGCTTTAACGAGCCAACTGTGAGGCATTAATCTTTAAGTTGCAACCATTAAAGATATCTTAGCTATCATTTTCCAAATTTAATGCCTTTAACAGTGTAGGTAACAAATAGGTTGATTGAAAGACCTTAAAACCCTCCTATCATATATTTTATTGCATGACAAGAATTAGATTTTCAACTTTCTTTGAAATTTTACAAAAAAATGGCCACTAACCACATTTTCATAGAAACTACAGCAGAAAGTATAAATAATTTTCCTAGTGATCCACAGAGATTTAAAATCAAGATTGCCTGATTTCAGAGTCTCTTTGCATGGCTCCCTACTATCTTGTTGTTCTGCAATGATATCAAATTCATTTCAAAAAATATATTAAGTTTGTATTAAGTTTGTATTTGCTCTGGAAAGGAGCAAAGATTAATCAGACCATGGTTTTCACAACTATGAAAGTTATAAGTTTTTCTGCCTACATTTTTTACTCAAAAGCCTATACTGGTTAATTCTTGCCTTGTATACAAATTCGAATGCATCAGCTCTATAAAAAGCTGTCCATCAACTCTTACCATACCTCCCAATCCTTTTCAATGTTCCTTCACTAAATTATTCAGCACAATTGTACTTTCAAAATGTTATTTCAGTACAAGGTCCTATGGTAATCAACATGCATTCCTTTTCCCACAACTTTGCATGAGTCTTTGTTCACTCTCTGTCAAGATCTTCTTCACATAATAAGATCCACATAATTTTGGATCCTCCATTGTTAACATGAAATACTATCTATAGTGTTGTCCAATGGAACTTTTAAGATAGAATGACTTTGTGAAAATGTGGTTATTGTGACTGGTAAAATGAACTTAATTGTACTTATTTTTAATTTAAATTGTCACATGTGGTTATCACATTGTATAATAATGTAAAAGTATCTTATAGAATGTGGGTAATGACTAAACTATTTAGCTTTTAGTAATATATGACAGGAGAATTTCATTAAACCATCACTTGGTAATAGCAAGATCAGTCTATATAAAGCAGATGGTCCTAGATTTTAAATGAATGCATTTATGCTTTCCATGATCATGGGTAAGTTTAATTGCAAAATCATATATGCATTTTGAATGGAAAACTTAGTAAGTTCTCAGAAACTCTTCCAATTTTAAATATAAAAATGTACAACTTTTCTAATGAGAAAAATGAATATATTCTGCTTTTAAATAAAAAATTCTCAAAGTAGGGTATTCTACAAAACATACACGAAGATATTTTGGTGATGTATGAACTATATGTTAAAATAATGATTAAAATATAGTTATCTTAAAAGAACTCAAAATGATAAGGCTATGAATTCAAAATCCAGCGAAGTCCATTTTCTATGTCATAAACATTTACTCATTTTTTGGTTACCAAAGATAATTATTGACTTCATAAAGTATCTTTTATATATAATAAATAAAACTGAAAAAGAAGAAAAGAAAATTTAAAAGAAATTTTAGGGGACAGCTTGTGTTGTTGTATGTAAAATCAACACCTGCCATGCCTGCCTTCCATAGGGCACAGGCTTGAATGCAGACTGCTCCACTTTGAGTGTAGGTCCCTGCTAACGCACCTGGAAAAAGCCACAGAAGATGATCACACTGCTTGGGTTCTGCCATCCAGGTTGGAGATCCAGATGAAGCTGCTGTGTCCTACTTCGCCCTGGCCAAGTCCTGCTCATCAGCGCCATCTTGGGAGTTCACCCATGAATGGAAGATCTGTATCTCCCTCTCTCTGACTTTCAAATAAATAAATAAATCTTTAAAAAGAGACATTAAAAAACATTATATGATCAAGTGTGCTGTGGACTGAAAGAGATTCCATGTTTCTAACTATAATGAACTCTTTTTAATTGTTCATTTTCTTTTCTTCACCAGCACTGGCTCAATGAACTGGAAATTTTAGCAATGGTCTTTGCTGCAGCCATTCATGATTATGAACATACAGGGACCACAAACAACTTTCATATTCAGACTAGGTAAGCTGGATGAAGTATTTACTTGCACAAGCTAACATTTGAAACATTTTGTTGCTACTTATTATTTAATTCAAAAGAATAAATAGCAAGCAACACTCTAATAATAGGTTTGTTGAATTTTGGGGAAATTTTCTTAAGCAGTAAGCATTCCAATAAGTTATTTTTTCCAAGAATCTTACATATATTGTGCAGCATGTTCAGCAGTTTAAGGGACGTAGGAAGTTTAAGATGATTCCTCTCTGCCCAGAACTTAGACTGTGAGCTATCACACAAGTCAGACTTGTCTTATAACATGTAATTTAAAGCACTGAATCTGTGTCATCATTGCATTTTGAAAACAGTAGAACGGGACTCAAAAACAAGCACAAAAATAAAAGAAAGCTCATTTTTAGGACAGCATAAAGTACTAAATATAAAATAATTGCATTGGTGTGGTGGATTTGCTGAAATTGATGTGCCCATATGAATACATTTTATTAGCTGATATCCATAGTACATACAGGGCGTATTCTTTGTGTCAAAGGTCCTATGAGTTTTGATAAGGGCATTTGGCACATACCAAGAACACCACTATAGGCATATATGTGCAGGATTTTGTGTTGTTTGGTTCATTTGAATTTCTTTAAGCTGTAAGAACTGATTTTCCAGAAAAATGGAGCTGTTGTGTTGGTATGGAATGTTTATAAATATTGTACTAAAATAGTAACACTTGGGAACTTAAGGGAGCTTAGGGTGACTAACGTAAAAAACCATCTCATCTAAGACTTGCGGTCTAAGAAAAAAAGAAAGAGCTGTTAAAGGAGGGCACTAAAAAGAAAAATTGATCAGTCTATGTGCACATGATCTGGTAATGGCAGGTGTAGATCTGAGAAGCTGGAACAAGGAGCACACATTCCCAGTCCAGTTAGTGACACAATCTTGCTCCCACAACCATCCATACACATCATGGCTCCTTGAAACAGTGAGGGTTGAAATACAAGCAAGGCAATGCTGGGAAAGGCCTTCTGTCTGTCACTGGAATGGAGGAAATCCCATCTGTCAGAAGGACTTCAGCGGAAGGAGAGACTTGCACATTAGTTGGTATGGCAGCACTGTTATCTCATATTCACCTAGTCACAGAGTAGGGGGAGTTGTGCTTGCATTCAACTTAAACATCGTAGGAGCCTTTGCATATTAAAGTCTCCTTTCTTCCACTGAATCCATAAAGAGAAAGATCTCAATCAAAGATGGCTCATTACTGAGCTGGAATCTGCACAGACCCACAGAGATAGGAGTTGGTGAAGTGATGTGTTATGTGAGTACTTCTCCACTTCTCACTCTGAGAACTGCAGGCAGTAGTTGGGGGATTTTCCAGAGCCTTTTCAGATCATCACTTGTAGTTTTTTCTTTGGTGCTAATTTTCAATTGCATGATGAGTCCTAGATTGTGGTTGATCTGGGTTGTGCTGAAGACAAAAAGGTAGAGAACAAAGATGAAGATAGGGAGAAAAAAAGAATAAGGAATGGAAAGAGTAGGAGGAGAGAGGTAAAATAAATTTTTTCTTATATTGAGAAATTACATAAGAAGACAAAAATGCTTTACATGTCACTTATTTCCTTATACATTACTTAATAGCCTGTTGTTAAATGAATGAATTCTACATGAATTTGAAAATTCTGTGAGCATAGATGTTGCAACCAAATATAGCAATATAACATACTGTTTTCCCCCCCAAATTCTCCATTAATTCTTCACATCTTGTGAAGGCATAAACAAGGTTACAAGCTACTGGTATCCACTGTATTTCATATTATTCACTGCATTTAATTTTATAGCGCTTTTATAATAGAGACATTTATTGAATATTGTAAAATAACTGAAAAGTAATTCTGAACATAGAGCAGGGCTGGATTTGAGTTCAACACAGATATAATAATTTACATGATTCTTGAAAGTATAAACGAAGGGAAATAATTTCCTCTTTGTGAAAATGTCGAGCTGCACGTTACCATGGTTACTGAATGTTGCTTTGAGTCTTGTTCTTTTCTTAGCAGAGACCATCTCAGACATTATGACCATACTGTATTCTCAGCATTCTTATTGTATTTATTGGGGGGGTGGGGAATGGGGTTAGGGAAGGGGAACCTTGTATGCTTTGCTGACTGAATCTGGTTCAAAAACAAATCTTTGCTTGTTTCTGAAAGGAAATGTTGGTCATCTTTGAAGATATTGTCTTGTAATAACCCAGACAGAACTGATATGACTGTATTTTAAAGGTGTATGAGCTAAACAATGTTATTGGGGGAAAAATCAACTTTTCCCATGATTTCAGCAATGATTAGAAATCCACATGGTATTTTATACAGCCAAGACCTATTTAATTATTTCATATATGCTTTCTAGTTTTGCTTCCTGTGGACTAACTCACAATTTTTGGCTAAATGATTTTAGGCCTTACTGGGATTAAAGGGAAGCCTACTTTGGAAATAAAAGTAATAGCTAAATGTGTATGCCAGCCCACCTAAGCAACAATGCTAGAAACAAAAAGGAAGGAATTATTGTTGTGCTTGATTAATTATGTTGTATTAATAATAAATCTTGATTTACCTGGCATACTTGCAGATACAAATCCTGGTTGCTGCAGGAAATGCCACACTTTTTGGTCACTTTCTTAAAAAAAAAGTTTTGTTCTGCCTAGTTAAGGGCTACAACATTATGTGACTGGAAGCATGAATAAAATGGTTAGTAGTATGAAGCAAATGAACATATCTGTCATTTTAGTTATGTATTTTTGTTGTTTTGTTGTAACTGTACTTTATTTTCTTCTTCTCTATTCTGCAACAAACATTCAGTTGGCATGGAAAGTACTAGGTTATAACTAAGGTTCCACCCACGCAAAGTCCAAAACAGTAACTTTTGCTAGAGGAAGTTTTATACAAGGGGAAAGACAGTGAAAGAAGTCTGAAAATGGAGAGAGATGGCAGCAAATTGCATTCTTGTTTTGCCTTTTGCTTCGTGTCTTTAGCTGCCTGCTGACAACTTGCCAAGTTATACAAATGGGCTTGTCTTTTGAACATAGTGTTTTCTCCCATTCTACTTCTGCAAAGTGATCTGGCAACCCAAAAGGAAACAGCAAAAATGGGCAAAAGGCTGCGTTTTACACTGATGATGATGGTTGGTACACCTCAGACAACATAAGAATACCAAAAGCACTCATACAGCTTTAAGTTATTTATCTAATAATCAAATTACATGAAAATACGCATGGAAAAATAATAACATTCCTTTGAATTCATCATTGTAAAAGTAAAATTACTTTATAAATTGCACACCCATTTTAAGGTTTGTTTAAAAAATCAGTTTCTTCGTTGAAACTTAAAATATCAGTAACATAACATTATAAGAGATAATGACAAAGAGACTCAAGAGTTTCAACATCTTCTCTACCTCATACCTAAAGTAATATTATTCCAAAGGAATGTTAGTCCATCAGTAATAGACATAAGGGATTCTTATTCCTTCTTTGACTTAATGAGACTGGGTTAATTTCTTACTCCTTAGTACAACTAGATGCTCTCACTGTTATATGAAGCGTAAGTGGAAAGGAAAAAGCATATACACATTTAAACTGTGATAGCAAATAGAAAAGATAAGTACCATGACCAAGAAAGATTTATCCCTAGCACTGTTTAATTAATGAAATTAATAAAAGAATACCTAAGATTGCATAGTGTTTTGGGGAGCAGGTATTTCTCACAGTTCTGGAGGAGGCAAAGTACAAGGTCTGCTGAGTGTCCTGCATTCTTACAGGATAGCAAGAATCAGCCAGGGGGAGACTGAGAAGCTGAGAATGAACCTGCCCTCATGAGTCTATTTGCTAAAGGAATTAACGCCCTAGGAGGGCGTGGCCCTTGTAACTAACATAATAATTCAATTAATAAATTATCACTTCAGGCTAAACACAAATCACATGATAATATTGATAAACAAAGGAAGAAAATTTGAAAACTCCAGCATGCATTCTTGCTTAAAAAAATTATCAGTAAGCTAGGAATGCAGAGTTAGCTCCTAAAATAGAATAGGTGTTACCAGGGTTGGGGGCTACTAGGGTTAGTTAGGGAGACAGGAATTTCAGTCTGAAAGAAATAAGTTCAAGAGATCTATTATGTAGAATGGTACTATACTTAATGAGGTGTTATTGAAAATTATTAAAAGTGTATTTGTAAGCATTTCTATACATGCAAGTGATAAACACGTTAGCTTGATTTGGCTTTTGACAAAGTATACATCTTTGATAGCATCTATACATAATTTATAATATATATATGTTCACTTTAAGAGTAAATAATAAAATAAAAAACAATATTTTCACAAAACCTACAGCTAACATTATACTTAAAATTTTCCACTAAGTTTAAGAACAAGGCAAGCACTCCCTCTCACTTCGGGATATTAGACATCACCGTGAAAGCCCTATAGAGCAACACATGAGTGGAGGGGGCACACATATTTGGAAGGAAAGACTGAAACTATCCTTTTTATGTTTGATATGATCATCTGTGTATAAAAACTGCAGCAATCAACATAAGTTTCCAAAACTAATACATGGTTATGGCAAGGTTGCAGGACACAGGGTTAACAGCAATGAAGAAGTAGAATTTGAAGCTGAAAACACAAAATTTTTTAATTAGTACCTCTAAAATGAAATCCTTAAGTTTAATTAAATATGCTCAGCTCTATAGTAGGAAAATTTAACAATTCTAGTAATAAATCCAGAAATATTTTGTAGTCATGGAAAGATGAAATAAAACATACAGATAAAAGATACATAATGCTTTATTGACCCATACTGTTGATGAAATCTCAATCAAAGTCTTGGCAACTCATGTTAAGTGTGTTGACAAAAGGATTCTAAATGGTAGACAGACCGAAGACCTAACATAATTGTGCAAGGTTAGAAGACACAGTTTACACTGAAGCAGTAACAGTAGAAGAGGAAAGGCTGGTGATGGCATGGTCACTCTTGTGGTCTGAGCATTTCATAATGTGAGTCATGTGACAGTGCAAAAAGAAGATGCTCACCAGGAGTTGGACTTTGTGGTCTCCAGGACTGTGAGAAACATCAGTTCCCTATCAACTACCCAGTCCTGGATATTGTGTTAGAACAGTCTAAAAGGTACACAGAGACACAGACCTTACAACCCTCACAAAAGATCTGCAAAGATCACAAAGCTAGAGGTAACACAGAAGAACATAAGATGCTTCAGAGAAAATCTAGTTGGCCTTGGATTTGGCAGTGATTTTTAAGATTTGTTTATTTTTAAAGATTTGTTTATTTTGACCGGAAAGCCAGATATATAGAGAAACAGAGATAAGAGAAAAATCTTCAATCCTCTGGTTCACTCCCTAGATGGCCTCAGTGGCCAAAGCTGAACTGTTCCCAAGCTAGTGAGCGCAGGGTCCCAAGGCTTTGGGCCATCCTTTACTACTTGCCCAGGCCACACGCAGGGAGCTCAATGGGAAGTTGGACACAAAGCAGCATGAACGTGGAATCCTAGCCCTTGTAAGGTGACGATTTAGTCATTGAGCCATTGCACCAAACTGTGGCAGTAACTTTTAAAATATGTTACTAAAGGCTCAATTTGTGAAAGAAGAAATTGGTAAGCTGAATTCCATTAAGATTAAAACTTATTCTGCTGTATTCTATTGAAAGAGGGAAAAGATAAGACACAGTGGCAGAAAATATTTTAAGACATAGTTTATAAAAAATTATTATTCAAAAGTACAGAGAATGATTAAAAGTCAAGGAAAGAATCAATTTTTAAAATAGGCCAAAGTATTAGAAATATCAGTAAAGAAGGTATATGGATAGCAAATAAGCATATGGAAAAGTAAGCACATCAGAAGTCACCAGGAAAATGAAACTGCAGGGGAATACCACTACATACATATAAGAATGAACAAACTCCAGAAGTGGTCGTTGTATGTGACAGCAAGGATATAGGGCACCTCTATCGTTTGTTGCTGATGGGAATGCAAAATGATATGACCACCTTTGGGAGATAGTTTGGCAGTTTCCTAAACATATGATGCAGAAATTGCATTTGTTGATATGAAATTACTAATGTATGTTCATACAAAAAAGTGCACAAAGGCATTTAAACCAGTATTATTAACAATTCCTGCAAAACTGAAAGTAATCAAAATTTCTTTTAATAGGCAAATGGATAAGTAAAGTGTGATACATTCAGCCGGGGGACATTATTCAGCGAAAAAAAAAAAAAAAGAAACATATTTGGCATAAAAAGAAATATCTTGGCATAAAAAGACACGGGGGAAATTTCAGTGCATGTTCATTGAAAAGAGCCAATCTGAAGACAACATGTGATTCTGAATATATGACATTTGGAAAAATCAAATCTATGGAAGTAATCAAAAGATCAGTGGTTAGCTGAGAAAGGGATGAAGAGTAGAGCATGGCTGATGAATTTTTAGCAATGAAAGTCCTCATATGAGACCATGATGATAGTTACATGTTGTTGTCTGTGGGCAAAACCTGACAAATACACAGCACCAAAACTGAACTCAGGTAGTATATGCACTTTGGGTAACAATGATCTGTAAGAATTAGTTCATCTTAAAACAAAAAAGCACTCTATGGGAGATGTTGGTAATGGGTAAAATTACTTATGTGAGAGCAAAAGATAAATGATAAATATTTATACTCCACCCACAGTTTTGCTGTAAACCTAAAACTGCTATTAAAAAAACAAAGACTATGAAAATTTTGAAATATCATAGTTGTGACAAAAGAAACTAAGTACTTCCATAACTTTAAGATTCCATTTAGAGGGTTTTATCTCATGAAGTAATTTGAAAGTTGAATGTGTTGACCTGGACATTCATAATGTGTAAAGACGTCCTCAGCTGGGTATTTTGTGTTGCTTCTTAGGTCAGATGTTGCCATCTTGTATAATGATCGCTCTGTCCTTGAGAATCACCATGTGAGTGCAGCTTACCGACTCATGCAAGAAGAAGAGATGAATATTCTAATAAATTTATCCAAAGATGATTGGAGGTGAGTTTTAGAGGGAACCTCACTTAGGGAAAAGAATAGATTATGTGATGCATGGTAAACAGTAAAATGCAATGCCATCACCAGCATACTGCAAACTCAATTACCACTGATTATTTGCCTAAGAAAGATAAGTGCATAAGGGATTGTGCTCAGGAATCAGGATCTAGTCAATGGAGCGGGAAATATTCCAAGTTAATTCAACCTCCACACACATGAATTAGCACACCATATAAAATAAGTCAAGAGACACATGATACACTTTTGTCAACAGAGCAATGCTTAGTATATATCATTAACATGTTAATTCAAAATTTTACCATCATATTTATTCCTTCATTTGTTATCTTTCTATATAAGCAAAGTATCTTTAAAAAGTTTTAAGCTCCACTACTTTGGTGGGGGAAGAGAATAAAATACACTAAAACGATCCTAGTATAGAAGGAAATGCCATGTTTCCCCAAGGCATCTGTTTGTTTAAATGACATAGAACAATGATACTTGCTGTCATACAAAGAAGTAACCATATGTAAACCACCATTCTACATAACTTTGGCTCTTCTCTTTCTAATCCCTTTATTGTCATAAGTCCTAAACTGGAAGTTTTCCAGATTTAGCAAATAAAGGGAAAAGGACACTGAGTTTGTAAGGATGGACTTCAGATAAGCATAAAATCCTAAGGGGTAGCTCATACAGAAAGAAAAGTTTTTAAAAAGCACACTGTGTTGTATTCATCTTTAATAAATATCATGTGAAGAACTCAGTGTTATTATACTTTTAAAGCAACTTAAAAAAAATGTCCAGAAGAAAAGTAACACAATCTCAAGAACTGCCTTTTAAAACCAAAATATAATAAAATGGTAAATCTCAGGCTTAAAAACATTGTACCAATCTCAGAATTACTTTTAAAGCTTCCTGGTTTCCTAGGCCAATTTCAGATATGAGCTTATATTTGCGACTTCATAAAATATACTGAAAGGTTGGGGGGTCAAGGAAGTTGGGGAGCTTCATTTGGGACCTGGTCAAGCCTTTCATCAAGTTTGCTGCAGCAAATTGTAACCATAGAAGTTTTCTAGTCAAGAAATGATCTAATTGTAAAGGAATTATAAATCAATCATACTGCTAAGTTATGTGGAGAATAGATGGGCAAATGTAGAACTTTGGAGAGATTTTAGGAGATATTTCTCAAGGTCCCCTTCCCCCAGAAAGAATATTTATCCCTACAACATTAATAGTTTGTCACTAGTGATTATCGTTCCAAGAGGTAAAACTTGTAATATTTATTTTTGTTATTCCTTGCATTAAGCTTTTTGTTTCTCAAATTTTTCTCTGTTTCCATTTCAGTGAAAACACCAATCCTAATTGGGTATTTTCATAGATTTTTTTTTTAACAAGGCTGTATGTAATGTGTTTAGCAAATTTACATCACCAATTTGATAGATGTGTCATGGTGCTGTGTCTTAAGCAGTAGCTTGTTATACCCATATCCCATATTGGAACATCCAGAATCAAGTCTGTTATTTAGCTTCCCATCCAGCTCCCTGCTACTGTGCACCTTGGGTGGCAGCAAATGATGGCCCCAAGTATTTGACTGCCTGCCACCCATGTGGAAGACTCAGCTGGAGGCTCATTTCTTCAGTCTGGTCCAGCCCTAGTTGTATGCATTTGAAAAGTGCACCTACTGATGGGCAATGTCAACCTACCTTGTTAGTTGTTTTTCTGTTTAGTAACTAAGCCCTTCTCTCCCATAGTGCCAGTGGTTCTGCCCGTATTATTATATTGGGTTAAGTTCCAAAAGTTTAAACTGGGGTTCTTATGATGAAGTATTCCTTATTCCAAACTTTGGGAGTGGGACTTTTATTGCTAATTCCCAACCTAGGCACCAGGTAGCTGGATGACTAAGCAAAGGACACAGTCTTCCCTGATAGCAAACATTATTACCCTCTTATCTAAAGAAGATTTAATGTTTTAAAATTCATGCAAAGCAGATATAATACAGTTGCAATCAGTGCTTATGCTGAATAAATACTGCACAAGTAATACAGATTTTGTTAATGGTAGTAATTTCATTTAAAAAATACAAAATCAGCTTTGAGTATACAAGCCTTTTTTATCTGTGTCACTTCTCAGAGACAGACAAGAGGCCTTTCATTTTGTTAACTATATGAATTTAGAATGATCTCAGTCCCATTAGGATATATGTTTGCTTCATAGCACACAAATACTATATTTTAAGTAATGGCTTTAGTGGCTAAAAATATATTCAGATAGAAAAACAATAGTTAGGAATTAAAATGGGGGGAGGGAGAGATTGTAATGGTGGTAGTGGGAAGGGACATTAGCTTCTGTTAGAGGAGATGTTGAACTCTCATTCAGATCTGTGCTGGTAATTTCTTGCATCAATGAGAGTTACAGGGTAAAATAATCTCAAACTTTTGTAACTACTTTTACATTTAAAAAGTGTCATCTTCTGTGTTCATGTCCCTTAAGAAGACTAAAATGTGATACAAATCATTAAGGAACAGTTCCACTTTAGAACAATGAAGGATAGCTGAAGATGTCTCCTTTTGATGACTCTGCAGGGATCTTCGGAATCTCGTGATTGAAATGGTTTTATCTACAGACATGTCAGGCCACTTTCAGCAAATTAAAAACATAAGAAACAGTTTGCAGCAGCCTGAAGGGTAGGTCATTTTCTTTTATCTTGTTAAAACTTAATGAAATTATACTATATATCATTTACTTTGCTCAATAATTTGAATGCATCTCTGGTTTGACAGGATTGATAGAGCCAAAACTATGTCCCTGATTCTTCACGCAGCCGACATCAGCCACCCGGCCAAATCCTGGAACCTGCATTATCGGTGGACCATGGCCCTGATGGAGGAGTTCTTCCTACAGGTGCCTCTTGCACACTACTTGAATGTTTACATAAATAATAACATTGCATATTGACATATGCTGCTTCTAAACAGAATCCAGAGCTGATAGCTTCATATTATCAACTCTCTACAAGATATTCTTGAGGATTTTTGTCAGATATGTTGATCTTCCAGATAAATAATCCTGTGTCGTGTATTATATACTTTAAGGAGTCAAGTCTTAAGGCTTAAAAATGGACTCTCAGGAAGTTAGGAAGGGTTAGATTCATTACCTGCTCCAGAGGCAGCTTGAAGAGCAGAGACAGCAAATGACTTCCACAGTAAAAAGAGAAAGGAGAATGTGCAACACCTCTGCATATCAGAATTTAGTCATATGTGCATAACTGCAATTGAGACCACAAAATACCACTTGTAGTGGTGTGGACATGCACCTGCTCATCCAAAAAAAAAAAAAAACCTGAAATGTTGGTAAGAAAGCAAGCTTGCACACGGGGAATAGCCCATGCTGACTGCTACAAGGATACATTTTTTTTCTCCAGAATGTCCCTGTTATGACCTCTCACCATCCAAATGGGATACAGCCATACAAGAGTAATACTAACCACTCAATGTTAGCCTCAAATCCTACAAGGTGTAAGGTGCAGGATTCCATAAAACTTGCTCCTCTTCAGATTTCAATCACTAGAATGGCCGTGAGACACAAGCACTTTTTTTGCAGTTATAGAATTGGAATTTCTCAACACTGCTCAAGCTTTGTAATTTTCTAGAACAGTGCTTAGCATTCAATAGGGTCTTACATTTGTAGTGACAGTTTTACTAGAAAGGATACTGTGGTAGGCACAGCTCAAAGAGGTACTTGGAGTGAATCTGGAAGTTGTTCAAACTGCAGCTTCCATGCCTTTTCCTAGCAAAGTAATGGTGTGTTACCATCTGGACTGTTGATGGGTTCTCTGACCAAGAAGCTCCACCCAAGCCCTAGTGGTAGAGATACGCATCAGTACTCATGACCATGTGACTGAACTCATTCTCCAGCTTAGCCTCCAATATAGGGGCTAAACTGGCTCCAAATCCCACACCTCTAATCCCGTGATGAATCCTGAGGCAGTCTACAGGACCTACCAAAAGTTGCCACATTCATGTAACAAAAACTCTCTGCTCCGGAGATTACACAGGTTGGTGAAGTTCTGTGCCAGGAACCCAGAAGAAATATAAATATTACATATCATATCATAGTCCCACTCAGAGAAACTCTTATGTCTGAATTTGCAGATGATTTCATTTCTTACTACTATTCTTTCTTTTGGAAGTTCATTCATTGTTTTGTAAAACCCATTCTGAAGACAAACTTCAAATGCATTACTATACTTAGAGGAGTATTTTTCCTGGCTCCCATTGTCAATGGAAACATGATTTGATCTTTAATGTTTCATCTTGAGAATCATCTTGCAAATTCAAATGTTTTAATAAGAATACATAAGTACAAATAGTTTTGAGTGGGAGGTGTTTGGTGCAATGTTTATGTCACCCTTTGGGATGACTGCATCCATACTGGAGGTGGTGGATTTGATAACTTCTACTTTTGATCTATTTTCCTGCTAGTTCAAACCCTGGGAGGCAACAGACAGCAACTCAGGAAGTTGGTTTGATGCTACTCATGTGGGAGATCAAAATTCAGTTCTAGGCTGCAGCCCAGACTCTTTCTGGATATTGTGGCATTTGGAGAGTGACGAAAGCATATAAGATTCTGTGTGTGTGTGTCCATCTATCCCTACCGCTCTCTCCATGCCCCCATATCTGTCTCAGATAAGTACAATTTATATGATTAAGAAAAGACAAGCATAGGGCCCGGTGTGGTAACATACTGGTTAAGGTCCTCGCCTTGCATGCACCAGGATCCCATATGGGTGCTGGTTCTAATCCTGGCAGCTCTACTTCCCATACAGCTCCCTGCTTGTGGCCTGGGAAAGCAGACAAAGATGGCCCAAGCGCTTAGGGCCCTCTACCTGCATGTGAGAACCGGAAGAAGCTCCAGGGTTCTGGCCTCAGATGGGCTTAGCTCTGGGCACAATGGCTGCTTGGGGAATAAACCAGCAAGCAGAAGATCCTCCTCTTTGTCCCCTCTTCTCTCTGTAATTCTACCTTTCCAATAAAAAAATGTATTTAAAAAAACCTAAAAAAAAAAAAAAGAATGGTTCCATTTCAATTAAAAAAAAAATTACCAAGCATAGACTGCGAGCCTGTGGTGGGTGGAACTGTTTTGTCATTGTTTGTGTCTAGTAAACTGTTTCAGGTATCTGACTTGCAGGAATCAAAATACATTCAACATGAAAGGTTAAATCTTGTGAAAGGAACATGATCTACTTAGAATATTTTTTATTTCCATTGTGTGTACTTTTTTCATGTTATTCGATGTTAAACAGAATAAGGAAGACTAGCTTTTTAAAATAACATTGAGTAATAACAAGATTCTGCGGAATGTCAAAGTATTCAGACATGGACAGCATTTGCTTGAATGTCGTTAGTATTTAGTGCAAAGCAGTCCAAAGAAGAGACGAAAGCATAACTATGTGGACTGCCCTGACATGAGTGCATCTCTGTTAGCATTACTTCATCTCTCCCAGCATTAAAACCTCAGGTCATCACAGATTGCTTTAGGACTTTAGCTTTAAATCAAGGAACTTACTGTGGAAACATCATTTTTTTTTTCAGTTTCTGGATTTTAAAGGAGGAATAACTTTCAAACACCCTTCAGAGAAATATTTAGTAAAACAGAATATGGAGTTAAAGCATATGGAGACAAAACAAGCAACTGTGATGCACCAGATGTTTATTCAAACAAAGCAAGTTTATCAGTATGAGATTTAAACTAAGACATGATACTGATTTCAGCAGGTAGAATGCTTTCTCGAGTTCAACTTGATAGATCTCATAGCATCATTATTCTTAACTATATCAGCTATTTAAGCCTTTGGAAGGTGGATATAGCAATGAATCTAAAACTTGTTGTGATCTGTATTGTTCAGAATATGTTTAACATAAGCTATTCAAATTGATCTGTGCATCTGTGCAGATGTCTTAGAAACTCAAGACGGCAATGTTTTTGCCTGTGTTTTCTTGGCTTTTCTTTACGTAGCCATCTGTGAAACTATCAATTTTCCTGAATTTTAGTGTACCAATAGATACTTTCTTATTTTGTGTCTAGCCTGGGTGGTTGAAATTTTTTATCTTAGTAAAAATAGCATGCTTGTATGGCAATTTGTACATAGATTCCTTCCTTCACTCAAAATATACATAGAAAAAAATATATATATATATACTTAGAACTTTTTTTCTTCATCATAAAATTCACTGGCCTGTGCTAGAAGATTTGAAGGAAATTAAAGGAGTTTCAACAAATTCATCAGAGTCTTCTGTTGTAGTATAAAGGTAACCATTTATTGTTTCCTCCTGGATAAAATCTTTTATGTACATTATTCATGCAGATGCTCAACAAAGTGTCTTGGAAATGCAATTGGACTCTGTTTTAAAAAGCCCAAGGCTAAGCCCTCGCTTTCATCTCTCAGCAGGGAAGCATAGCGATCTTCATCTGCTGCCTCTCCCTCAGGCTGATTGTAAAGAACAGAATGCCAGAATGCGTGCAGGAGGGCTATGCCATGAGGAGAAATGAGGAAAGAGTGGTCATTGATTCCTGTAGTCTGTTTTATGCTTTATGTTCTCTCTAGAACCATCACATAGTCATTGATTGAAATATTCTATTGTTACATAATCAAACTTGAACTACAATGGATCTAGACACAATTTTAGAAATAATCTCAATTCAGTCACATTTTTTAAAAGCCAATTTAGAGAATTTCTTTTTCTCTACATAATATAGAGCCAGATTTGGAATTCCTTTAATAGGCCTGGAACAAAAGTAGAGACAGAATGCCAATTCAAAAAAATCGGAACAGTGTGAGTGGAATTTTTTTTTTAAATACCAAAAACAAAAGGAATGCTGTGTATGTATATTAACATTTCACAAATGCACAAATGGATTTGGGAATATTCAATCTATAAATCTATTTTTAACTTTTCTGCCAAGCTCATTTTATTCAAGAAATAGGGGTAAATAGAAACTTAGAATTATTACACATAGTATATTTCTGAAATGCCCTATAAACCAAATGACTTGTATCACTCTTAAAAATTCAGACAGTTGACCCGAGTCCCTAGTACAACTGCATTAGCCTCACACTCTAAAACCATGAGAAACTGTAGCATAAGGAGATGAGGATCATACACAGAATTTATAGTTCAGAAATATGCTTATTTATGACTTTTGAGTTGGCAGTTGGAGATGAAGTAGGTAGAGCAGGTTCTCATCTGAAAGCGTGTTCAAAATAGCCACAGTTTGATTAGTTCCCTCTCTAGCACTGTCCACACAGCTCTGCACTCTGACTCTGCAGTCTGTCACAGGTCAAATCAGAAGACATCCCATTCGTTTCTGCTGTGACTGACCTGGGATTGGTAGTTCCAGCATTCCCACCCCTTCAAAAGAAATCAAACATAAATGAAAGCAGTTTTCTAAAATTTATTTGCAAAATTTTATTTGAAAGGAAAATAAAGAGACATGCTGTACATGCACGGATTCACTTTCCAAATATCTGCAACAGTTGGAGCTGGACTGGGCAAACATCACTAAGCTTGAAACCCAATCAGAATCTCCCATGTGGGTGATGGGGGTCCAACTACTTAAACCAGTACTGCTAGCAGGAAGCTAGAAGCAGAAATAGAGCAGGGACTCAATTCCAAGCATTCTAACACAGGATGAACAAAATTTGCATTACCTGAGGCCAGCAGTATGGCTAATCCTTCACTTTGCAACACTGGCATTCCATGTGGGTATCTGGTCTTGTCCCAGCCACTCCACTGCCCATTCAGCTCCCTGCTGGAGACATGAGAGAATAGTGAAGAATAATTTTATTTTATTTCCACTGCAATGTATTAGAATTTCCACCAAATAAAAAATTCACAGCTAAA